AGGAATATTATATCGAGCAAAAAAAGGGCATTGTTATTATACAATTTTCATAGAGATTTCATTGACTTTTGACATTTGAAACAAAAGAAGAATTACATCAGCTAAAATATTCAGGTTGGATTAAAAGCAATGTTATGAATATGTTATGAAGGTATTAATATTCTAATTTACTGATACAAAATAGTTAAATTTATCTATGTGAAATGTTTACCATTTTTCTTAAGAGGTGATTTATTGAAGGAATTTGTTGAAAACGATGTATGACAAGCTGAAAAAAGGAAAATATAAATATTTTTCTAAGTCTTGTAATAAATGTCATTGATATTTATCAAATTAATTATAATATACATGATTCACATTAAATATTTAAAAATTTTATTCGTGAAGAAAACTAAAATTGTTTAATATTACCTGCTAAGTTTGGCTGATGAGACTTAGTTTGGCTGGTGAGACTTAGAAATTGATTTGTCCTTCTTATTTCCATTCATTAATTTATCCTTCTTATTTCCATTTATTAATTTGTCCTGATTGTTCGTTTTTGCATTTTTCTGAACATTTCCTATCTTTATCTCTTTTTCTCTTGCATAAGTTTGATCAACAAGTTTAACTTTGTCATTGACATTTTCATTAATATTTTCTGATACCTGAGACTTATGTGAAATATCTGGATAAAAAAAGAACATGAAACGATAAAAAAATGCAGCATGAAAAAATATTAATACTATTAAGATTGTAGAAAAAAAGTTTATCGCTAATGCAAATTATCCCATATAACACACTCTATCCGACGGACGTTGCATATGTCGTATAGTAGTATAGTCGTATAGTATCGATATCATCACATCTGTGCGACATTCTTTGGATAAGGTGTGCTGTGTGGGATGATAATCATGTATGTACAAATATTGCAAAAAAGATGATTGAAATGATTCAGTTCACAATAATTTGATATATTAAACAAATAAAAGAGTGCCTTACTTTGCATCTGTTTTGCATTAATTTCGTCGATACTTTCTTCATCTGTATCACTGTAATATGACATAAATGATGATGTCTATTGTTTTCATTTCCTATAGTATCACAGAAAAATAAGGAAGTATTAAAGGAAGTATTAAAATATAGCATTACACGTGTTATGAAGAACAAATGAAAGAAAAAATCATGCAAATAAGTCAATTATATAAATAAACTTAAGTATATAATTAACCACTTATTTTTAAGTTTGTTATAGTTGGCGCTTTCAATTCAACATTAGTAGCTGAATCAACATCTGAATCATCAGTATCAGCATTATTACTTTTGTGTCGGTTCAAGAGCCCCTTGAAAGAGGGACTATACCTTTAAGTAACAAATCGTTGACGCTTAATAGAATTATCCCTATCAGACTATGACAAGTCTGAAACATCTAAGGCTTTTTCCATCTTCTCTTCAGCTTTTCTTACAGATTCTAGATAATACAAAATTACGAAACAGAGAAACATAATAATATAAAAGGGTGAATAAGGATAAAAATCTACATAGATTTGTAAATAAAATCTATATGCTTATTTGAACATATATTACGTATTGAAAATAGCTAATAGTATCCATATTATCCGTATTCCCCCATTTTTGTTGACATAACAAAACGAAATAAACAAAATAAAATAGAACAAAAACCAAAGATTGTAACTTTTTGCTATTTTGTAATATAAAGCACACACGCATA